AAAAAAATTATGAGATATTCAAAGAATCACAAAGAATCAAAAAAAAAGTGACCCATAATATGGAGAAAAATAATTCAATAGAAAAAAACACAGAAATGAGAGTGATGAAAGAAATAACAGATAAAGAACTTTAAATATATATTATAAATTTGGTTCACATGTCCAGTAAACTAAGAACACATATATTAGTGAAGAGAGAAATGGGTGGTCTAAGAAAGAAGGGAGCTTCTAGACATGGTAAAACATAGTATCTGAAATGAAAATTTTATTGACTAGGATTAATGGTAGATTAGACGCTACATAAGAAAAGATCAGTGACCTCAAATTCACAGAAACAGCATCTGTCCACAGTGAAGAACAGAGTTGCAGGGGCCAGTGTGACATGGACTGGCTGGAGTGCCAGGAGAGGACAGAGATGCAGGGAGAGAAAAAGCATATGAAGAAATTATGGCCACATGTTTCCAAATTGACAAAAGCTAAAAATCCAGAAATACAAGAAGCTTAACAAATTCCAGAGAATAGGCCGGGCATGGTGGCTCATGCCTGTAATCCTAGCACTCTAAGGAGGCCGAGGTGGGTAGATAGCTTGAGCTCACGGGTTTGAGACCAGCCTGAGCAAAAACCAAGACCCCATCTCAACTAAAAATAGAAAAAAACTGAGGCAAAAGGATTGTTTGAGCCCAAGTTAGAGGTTGCTGTGAGATATGACTCCATGGCACTTTACCTAGGGCAACAGCTTGAGACTTGTCTCAAAAAAAAAAAAAAAAAAAAGAATTCCAGAGAATAAAAACACACACAGCTATACCAAAGCACATCATAGTTATTGTCCAAAAACAGAAATAAAGAGAAAATGTAAAAGCAGCCATAGGGGTGGGAGGGCTCGTAATATGCAGAGGAACACCAATGAGAATGACTGTGGCTTCTCACCTGAAGCCACTCCAGCCGGAGCACAGGGGAGTGACATCTCTAATGCGCCAAGAGGAAATCGCAACTGTCAGCCAAGAACTGTACAGTAAGCAAATGCATCCTTCAAAAATGAAGGTGAAATAAAAGCTTTTTTAGACAAAGCAGACAAAAGCAGAGTGAATTCATCTCTAGTAGACCTGTGCTAGAAGGAGTGGTACACTGTATCCTTTCAGCAAAAGTAGAGGGTCCCAGTCGGAAGCTTGGATCTACACAGAGGGATGAATAGTGCTGGGGATGGTGGACAGGCAGGTAAACACAAGACTGTTCACTTTCACCACTGGAAAATGCAGTCGTCTGTTGAGAGCACAAAGGACATTGTGCAGTTCATAGCCCACGTGGAAGTAAGAAGCCTGACGTTGGTAATTCAGAGATGGGAGTGGGAAGAGGGGAAGCCTGTTGCTGTCATGCTGTTGTAAGAATCTGCCATTATACTGAAATCATATACTAGTAACTAAAGGTAGATTGTGATAAGCTGAAGATGTGTACCTAAATCCTGGAGCAACCACTACAAAATAAGCCAAGAAATATAACCGATTAGCCAGTAGTAAAAGAGACTGGCAGACAAAGCAGGACACAGCTATATGTTAAATACAAGAAAACCACTTTACCTGTGTAGACAGGTTGAAGGACAGAGAACTTCTGGTGAGCTAAGGAGCCCCTTGCTGAACACTTCCTGAGGCACCTCGCCTCAGTGAACCTTCCAGTCACTAGCAAGTCCTGCTGGAAGGCTGTGGACCCGGAGGGTGTGGACCACAGTGCACAGAGTCTGAATCCAGTGCCTGCCAGTGCAGCCCTCCGAATCTCAACACAGACTAGTATCTGTGCTGGATGCATGGTGTCGAGCCTGGCTACCTGGCCCTGCCCTCCTACGGCCCTTCTTCCACAGGGCAGGGCATCCAGAGTGGTCTTTATAGACATAAGCACATCTGTCTCTCCCCTGCTCAGGGCCCTTCTGTCACTCCCCATTTCATGGAGAACAAGTGCCAGCTTTCCAAGGCCCTTCACCCTCCTGCTGCTTTCCACCTTCCTTGGTGGGCCCAGCCCGGCTAGCCTCTTCGCTATCCCCATGGGACCCAGGCAGCTGGTACTGTGCTCCCCTCCTGTCACCTTCTGGCCCCTGTCCACCCACCTCTGGCTCTCCTGGTCTCCTGTTCAGCTCTCCTTTTCCCAGCACCCATCACCGGCTGCAGCATCGTGCAGCATGCTGGGTGCTGTTTGCTGTCTGTCCCTTATCTAGAACATAAGGATCGGAGGGGCAGGACTGCAGTCTTTTCTGGTCTCAGATGTGTGCCGAGTGTCTGGGAGTGCCTGCACACAGCCAGCACTTGGGGAGGGAGTTGTTCACTGACTATTGACTCTGTAAGTCAACAACGGACTGACTTGTGTCACTCTTCCTTGCATTCTCACGTGCTGTGTATTTTTCCAGGGGGCTCTATGGAAGAGACAAGGGAAAGGTCATGTTCATAAGGTCTTTGCCCTTCAGAGGGGCTATAGCTGAAGCCTGTGGGAGAGGCAGGCTGGAAACTGGAGGCCAGAGGCCAGGGCCAGGGCCAGGGACTCTGCTTTTCACCACTGCTGCTGCCACTGGCTACATGGACAGAGGCCATTTACTCAGTCTTCCTGCCTCACTTTGCTAATGTATCCCAAGGAGGGAACTGGTGGTCAGACAGGGCCCTTCTGTGACTGACTACCACCCTCCTCAGGGCTAGGTGGGCAGACGTTGGGAAGGCATGTTGAAAAGTCAGGACACTCTACATGTGTAACCAGGCTGAGGACAGAGAGCAACTCACATGTGGTGACAGATGCCACCCTCCCAGACTGGAAAGGACTTTGTCTCCGAGAACAGCCGAGTGCAGGGGCGAGGCACCTTTTTGCAGGCTGCAGGCACAAAGCAGAAGGCTTATGAGGGGCTGTGCTGAGGGTGGTATCTTCCCAGCTCCACCATACAGACTCTATCTGAGGGAGAGACTCCAGCAGCGTGCCTGGATCTGGGGTCTGCACCTGCTGTTTCCTGAGCTGCAGGCCCCATCTCCAGGTGTGGCAGCTCTGGTCTGGGCATCCTGGAGGCTGGTCCTCTTAAGGCCAAGAGGCCATGGGGTGCTATGATGAGATGGGAGCCTCCCTGCCTATCCTGGTACCCAGGACATGTGCTGGTCTAAGGAGTGTGTGTCCTCTTGGGCCTGTTCTGTGACTGTGTGTTCCGGTGCAGGGTTGTTCAGGCTCTTGCTATTGGTGGCACCTTCTATGCAGCCCACCCATCTCCCTGCCTGGCACTCAGAAGCTTTGGGCCCTTGGTCTGACACCTCAGAGGCCCCCAACAGCAAACCCACCTGTGACCCAGTGGTCCTGGGGTTGTCATGGGCTGTTGTGACAGGTGTCCTGAGCCCAAGTCTCGACTTACCGAGCTCACAGCGTCTGCCTTTGAAGCCCGGTGCACAGTCACAGCTGTGGGTCCCAGTACCCTGCACACATGTGCCTCCGTTCTGACAGGGGCTTCCTGAGCAGTTCCCTGGGGCAGCTGGAAGCAGAGGCCACACAAGGTTAGTCCCTGGGACATCTGGAAGCTGCAATATGGACACGTTGTGTCCCCCTCTGCAACCTGGCCCGAGATGCAGGGAAGCTGCTCTCCCTGCAGTGACAGGCCTGTCCCTCTCCTGCTGTGGCACATAGCAGTGGGCTCTCAAACACGACTAGGGTGGACCTACTTCAGGTATCCAAAGAAAGCAGAGGGGAAAGGACAGGCCAAAGCATGCCTGGCCTAGACTTCATCACAAGGAAAGATGAGAAAAAGGAAATAAGGAGATAAAGGAGAGGGGGGCAGGAGAAGCAGGACCCCTGGTGCTGAGACCCCCCAGCCCACATACCCCCCACTTGTCTGGCAGCACCCTACATGGGGTCTCCGGTTGGCATGGAGCCCTCCTGGTCCTCCTGTCCACAGCCCTTGGCATGGAGCCAGGGCCCTGCTCAGGGTGGCTGCACCGCATCCTCACCACATTTGGCTGCTAGTATGTCATTTTTTTCTAGCTTCATCAAGATTTGTTTTACGTTTTATTGGTTTACTTTTTAACTTAACAAACATTGAAAAACAGGAGCGAGTCAGAATTGTGTCTACCCCACTTCACCTAATGCTAAGCCAGTCCTGCCCCCCACCCTGCTGGCCTGTCCCCACGCTGGCCCTGGGTTTCTCTCCCTGGCTGGCTCCCCTCCTTCCTCACTGGATCTATTTCCCCTTTTTCCTCCCTCACATAGTCCTCTGGGACTTTTCTTGTCTTTTTGATTTTCCTGATGTGCTTACAATGAGTTATGGGCCTCTAGAAAACGTCTCATGAAAATTTCCAAAACCACAACACGGGGAGTGTGAAGAGCCCTATGCACTCAGCTTCAATGACGATCAAAGTTGGCTAGTCTTCTTTCATCTATTTCCATCCTTTTGTCACCTTCTCTTTCTCTTGTTGAAGAATTTCTAGATAGTTTACAGATATTATTTACCATTTCACCTGCACACAGGTCAGTGCGTATCCAATATGTCACATAACCATGAGGCTATTACTACAAATTAGCAGTAGTTCCTAGGCCATGGTCACGTTTTTCCAGATCATCTTAAAATGTCCTTTACGGCTGCTCTGATGTCTTGTGGGCTCACAGAGTGCCTTTGTTTGATGGATCTCAAGTCCCTGTTACCCATACCTTATACTCTCCTCCCCCCTTACTGAAGAAACAAGGTCATTTTTCCTGCAGAGTTCAGCTCCTAGATCTGACTCACTGCACTGTGGCATTGGCTTGTCCCTGCCCCTGTCTCCTGGAACCCCTCTCTAATTAACTGGACAGAGGGGTTCAGTGGGACCCAGGCTTAGGTGGTCCGTGTAGGGAGACCCACAGGGAGGCTCATGGGCCATCAGCCACACCAGGGAGTGTGATACCTCTGAGTCCTGCTTGAGCGATGTGAAGACTGCCCACTTGGTCAGCATTGGAGGCTTGCTCACTCCAGAAGAGAGTCCTGTGGGACTTGCTTGCACCTGACAGTTTGAGCAGCCATCAAGGTCCATCACCAGGGTGGTGCCTGACTCTGCCTTGGGCAGCTGGAGAGTCACCTGTGAGGACAGGCTTTCCTCTGGCCACCCTAGGGCCCCCTGGGCTGGGATCCATACAGGCAGGGCGGGAGAAATGCTCCAACTTTTTCCATTATGTGCCAGCAGACAGTTCCCAGCAAGCACTAGAGTTGACCAACAAGGTATTTTTCTTTGCAGGCATCTTGGTGATCACATGGGTTTCTGTGCCCTTGATGGGGTCAATCCACTGCTGTCACTGTGGCAGCCCTCTCAGGTCAGTTCCTCAGCCCTTTGGACACAGTCCTAGCTGTTTTGAAAGCTTGCTTGCTTTTTACACAATACTGTGTCCTGGGACAGTTTTGCCCATATCCCACTTCAGCCTCGGGACTAGCCATTTCTCCAAAGGTCTCTGGTTCCTCTGGGAAGAGCAAAACCTAGCACCCACAGTCTGAGTGCTCCTGGCACCCACTGCTCCTGGGCATCCATTCCTGCTGCCGGCTTTTTCTGGAACAGGACTGAGAAATCAGGTTTTTAAAATATAGACAAATTGTGAATTTATACCAATATTTCCAGTCCAAATAACACAATTAAATTTAAAAACAAGGTTTTAAACTCCTTGGATTTCAGATTTTTATTTCTTTCACTTAAATTTTTGGTGACATTAATGTTTATTTTCTTCATCCTACAACATACATGTACTAGTTTCAAGGCCAGTTTTACTCCCTTAATGATACCAGTATCATTATCAGCACCAAGATTTCTCGGCAATGTTTCTTATCCCAAGGCCACACCCCACTGGGCGAGTGGTTAGACTGCTGTTATTAAAATTGCTTGAAAAGATACTTTTTTCCTGTGTGGTTCTGCCATCAACACTATAAATAAGTTATTTGTTTCAGTTTGTTTTCAATTTTTAGGTGTTCCCTTTTCTTTTTTAAATTTCAGATTGTTATAGGAGTCCATACAATTTGTTTACATAGTTTGCGTCAGCATGGATGGAGTCAGAGTTAGAGGTGTGCCGGGTACCAGAAAGTGTGCAGTACACCCAGGAAGTGGGTGGGAATTTACCCTTGCCCTCCCCCCCCCACCCCTTAAATTCCATTAAGTTTTTCTTCCCTATGAACTTGTAGGTGTTGAACAACTAGTTCCAACTTAGTACTGAGTACACGTGGTGTTTGTTTTTCCTTTCTTGTGATACTTCACTTAGGAGAATGGTCTCCAATTCCGTTCAGGCTGTTACAGTTCATTAACCATTGAGGAACTGCTGGGCACTTGGGTGCTTTCCACATCCTTGCAATTGTGAATTGTGCTGCAACAAACACTCAAGTGCAAGTGTCTTTTTTATAAAATGTCATGTTTTTTCCCTTTGGGGAAATACCCAGTAGTGGGATTGTTGGATTGAATGGTAGGTTTCTTAGTTCTCTGAGGAATCTCCATATGACTTTCCCTGGAGGTGGTAGAGTTTGCAGTCCTAACAACAGTGCGTGAGTGTTCCTTTCTCTCCACATGGTCTTGCCCTTTCTTTTTATTGTTTTAAAAACATTTTCTGGGTTCTAAAGTCAACTATAAAACAAGGTACATTCAGAGAAGCCTCCATTCCCTTTATCCTGTTCTTTCCTTCCCCACTTAACCATATTATTCGTTTTATTTCTTTTTAAATATAAGAGAAAAATTCATATTTCCTCACTTCATTTTCCTATCCCAAAAATAACATACTGAAAACACAATTCTGCACATTACTTTTTTTTTTCTTTTTTTTGAGACGGAGTCTCATTGTGTCGCCCTCAGTAGAGTGCAATGGCATCACAGCTCACAGCAACCTCAAACTCTTGGACTTAAGCAATTCTCTTGCCTCAGCCTCCCAGGTAGCTGGAACTACAGGTGCCCGGCATCATGCCCAGCTATTTTTAGAGATGAGGTCTCTTCCTCAGGCTGGTCTGAAACTCGTGAGCTTAGGTAATCCACCCACCTCAGCCTCTCAGAGTGCTAGGATACAGGCA